ATAAAGGAGAAAATTAAAAATGTGTATGTATATATGCAGCAGATCTTGTGGCATTGTGCCTAAGGCATTTGACTGCTAACTAGAAGGCTGTCAATTCAAACCCACCAGCCACACCTTGGAAGGAAGATTGGGCAATCTACTGAGGTAGAGACACCACCTCAGAAATCCAAGGAGGGTCACTATTAGTCGGAAACAATTGGACAGCAGTGAGTTTGGAGTTTAGAGTATTTATATATACACACACACACACACACATATATATATATATAGCTCAGATGTTTACCATCTTATATATGTTTCTTTTTCCACATTGCTGCCTCCAAGTTTGATATTTTAATATAGTAAAAAGAATACTGAATTGGGAATTTGGAAGCTTAAATCTAGTTCTCATTTGTGCCCTTAAGCAATCTATATATTCATTGACTATGTCACAATTCTCTCATTTATATGTGAAAGTAATACAACTGGAAAAATAAACACCAACATGAAGTTTGAGGTATCTAATCCCACAAGATGTTGTGTGAACACAAAGGGTCTATAGGAAAATGAATTGGTCAAGTCTGCATAGTGCACGCCTCTCCTAAACAGTCTCCATGTATGTGAGTATAAAATCCCTGCTGAGGAAAACTAGTAGCATATGGCTTAATTCAGCCTTTGGAATTGCTGCCCACTTTCTCCAGCCCCTGTGGTTTTAGAAACACTTCTGGCAGATCCTTTTATTATACTGACCAGATGTTAACATGCTATGCTCATGAAACGCTTGAATCTGGTATTCTCTTTGGAGAATCCTGAACAAACAACCTCTGAGATTCCTTCCAGCTTTAACATTCCATTTTTATGCAAGTTCTTTTTTCTCTGTAATTTCCCACTGGCAGGCTTCAGTTATAAGAAGCTGAAATGCTTAATTGCTCTCACTGAGCTTTATTGATTTAGAAGGTGTGGCCAATGTCTGATTCATATTTACTTGCTGATAGAAAATAAATAGCAGACTATGATTTCTATCTCTTTCCTTGCCCCTAAGACTTCATATTAAAAAATAAAAATTAAAAAATCTAAGTTCTTCCAAGAAAGCGTAAGTCTCCCTCTCAAGAGAAAATAAAGATAGATAATAATGAAATCCTTTTGTTTATTGAACAGGAATCCCTATGGGGTTACCAAATTTGCCCAGTATATTGAGTATTAAAATGCAGGTGACCAAGTTTCTCTCAATAAATGTCCTAAAATATTTTGTAGGAAAGCAGCTATTTACTCTAGTTGTTCCACATCTGTACAAATATTTTTCCACAAAATGCTAACATTTTTCATTAGGATAATGAAAGCATAGTTCAGCATCCAGCAGAAAATACTAATACAGTTAGTACATTTTCACAAATAATTTTAGCAATTATAACAATCTCTTACCTAGTCTAGGACATGATAGTTTCTTAAAGTCATCACAGTTCACACATAAACCAGTCTTGTAATCTTTGTATGAAGGACAAGGAAATGAAATAAAGTTGCAGTGTGTTTCCAAAGATGCCATGAACAAGTAAACTGCTCTCTGATGGTCGCATTTAAAAAATTCAATCCCTTAAGTATTAAAATCAAGCAAAATAACTATAGATGATTAATTCAATTTCAACACCATTAGTGAAAAATTAAAGATATGTTCTTATAAATACTGTGTACCTTATGAATAGCAAAGTGTTCACTACAATATACCATTTTATTTCAAGCAACTAAACAAATCATACAATTGAAAAATTAAATTTAGCCTGTCTTTTACATTGGATTTACAATGTTTTTCTAAAGAAAAATTTCCACAGCAAAGATTTTTAAATTCAACAATTTAACAAACTCTACAAATACCGTGCTACTGAACACAACATGTATATGTTAATGTTAACATATACTTGTACATGTTAATAAGAGCTCTGGTAGCATAGTGCCTAAGGCACTTGACTGCTAACCAGAAGGCTGGCAGTTCAAACCCACCAGCCACTCTTTGGAAGGAAGGTTGGGCAATCTACTTCCGTAGTGATACTGCCTCGGCAATCCAAGGAGGGGTTGCTATGAGTCAGGTCCTACTCCACGGCACATAACAACAACATACATGTTAATGTAAATATGTATACTTAACATGTTGATGTTTGAACATTAGGACATGTATCTCTCCATTCTGATCCCACACCCCTAATATTTTATCCAATGTCAGAGATGAAAAAAAAACTTGGTGAAATGAAAACTTTATTATGTTCCTTGCTCTTCCCAACATCCCAGATCCTCATTCCCTTGACCAAACTTCTATAGTTACAGAAGACTTTAATCCTGGGTTACTTGACCAATTGCCACTGTGACTCTAAGAATATTTCTTGCTATGGTTCTGAAGTGAGCCTAATTGTACACTTGAAACTGTTGCCCAACTATCTGTCTGTGCAAGACAACTAAATGTCAAGAGTTTATAAATCCTTAAGTGTTGGTACTGTACTAATGTGATTTATTGTTATTGTTGTCAGTTGCCCTCAACTTGCCTCTGACTCATGGCAACATTAAGGTAAATCCTAAGATTTAACTTGTGTTATGCCATACTTTAGCTGCTCATGCTTCTTCAATACCTTGTAAATTCTCCTAATGTTTAAAATGATGCTCTAAAACTGTAACAGGTCTCATCTATAACCAAATGGGATATCTACTGGTAAAATTTATTAAATAATAAGAGTCAAATTACACCATTATTAAACCATTCTGAATCATGGGCACTGAAGATGAGATCAAAATATTGCCCAAAGATTAAGAGGGCAAAATATATTCATTTTATTTTGTAATTTTGAATCATATGTAATTTATTCAAAATACTATTGGAATACCTGAAAAAATAGATTTAGGACAACCAGGTTGTTTTTTCCCTCCATTGGGATAAAAATCTATATGTCCCAAAGGCTCTTTAATGCCTAAACCTGAAAAAAAAGAAAAACATCCAAAAATTACAAAGTTTATATAATCAGGTACACTGCACATGTATAAAACAAAATTTAAAAAATCCATTGAAATTCATCCTTATAAAATTTAAATTAAAAATAAGAGCTATTGAAAAAAATGAGTTTCCTGATATTAATCCTTAAAATTAATTCCTCATTATAATTATATTGAATTAATTAAACATACTTATCCATGACTCATTACAGGCCAATCACATTTCTTTGTGCTATGAATATATAAATGAAAAAGATAGAGCAAAAATCCTTGTTCTCGTGGAAATCAAATCCTAGTGAAGCGAGGCAGATAACAAACAAGTAAAAGTGTAGTAAGTGCTCTGAAGAAAAGCTAAGTAGGGTAAAGCCAACAAAATAACCAGCAACAAACTATTTTCCATTGATTCAATTCCAACTCATAGTGAACCCATGTGCTCCATTGTGTTTTCAAAGTTTGTGATCTTTTCAAAGTAGATCATCAGGCCTTTATTATGAGGCACTTCTGGATTGGTTTGAGCCACCAATCTTTTTGTTTGTAGCAAAGTATTTAACTATTTGCACAACCTAAGAACAGAATAAGGGGACAGGAAGTATCTGAGAGTGATAAATTGTATTTTGAAGTCAGTTAATTAGGAGGTAAGAGTTAGCAAAGGCCTGAAGAATATGAGGCAGGGAACCAGGTGGTTATCTCTGTAAGCATGCCCAGAGTATTTAAAGAAGCCAGGTAGCAGCAGAATGTGTAAGAGGAGAGTAGAAGGAATTATAGCCAAGTTACATAGGACCTTTTAGGACACTGTGATGATTTGCTTTCATTCTAGATGATAACGCCTAGGACTAGCTGGAACTATATTCACTAACTACAAAAAATCTAAAGAATATGCTGGAGTGAGATGAAAGCTATAGCTATGATTTAAGGGTTTTTATAGATCTTGTAGAAGAGCTCTGGTGACACAGTGACTTAGGTGCTCAGCTGCTGACCAAAAGTTTGGCAGTTCAAACCCACCATCCACTCAGTGGGAGAAAGATGTGGCAGTCTTCTTTCCTAAAGATTATGAAACCCACTGCCATTGAATCCAAGTCATAGTGACTCTTTAGGACAGAGTAGAACTGCTTCACAGGGTTTCAAAGGCTGTAAATCTTTATGGAATCAGACTGCTTCATATTTCTCCCACAGAAGACCTGATGGATTTCAATTGACAATCTTTTGGTTAGCAGCTGAATGCTTTAACCACTATGCCACCAGATTTCCTTGGAAACTGTATAGGCAAACTTGGTCCTTTCTTATAGGGTTGCTATGAGTTGGAATTGACTCAATGGCAATTATTTTGGGTTTAATATAGATCTTATAGATCCTTGTAGTACTGGTGAAAACAAATTCAGGTACTTTACTAATCTAGAGTCTATAACCTAAAGAAGTCTTTAGAATGGAAGGAGGTGGCAAGCTCACAATACTCCACACTGTGATTAGGTATAAAATCCTGGTGCTTGGAGCATAATAATTGTTCTACAGCATAATGAATTCTTGAGAGGGATAAGAAATAGATTTAACATAATAAACACTTCAGTCAGACATTAAGGATTAAGATGCAATAACTTAGTTCTAAAATGTAATGGAGCATCATAACAGATTGTGAAGTATTAGAGGGACATGAGAACATTGGGTATGTATTTACAGGAGAGGATGTTTAGCATACAAGGAAAGACAGAGAACTTATATGACTTCATTAGAACATCCTAGAATTCAGGGAAATGTGCATATGATTTGATTGTGACAGTAGTCAGAGTATACTAACCAAACCCCCTTTTTATCTTATCTACTTTATGTATGGAATTTAATCAATGAAAGTCTCTGGAATATGCTAGAAGTCTAACAGTTTTGGAGTTCTGTGAAATTTCCTCACATCTGAACTTAATATGGGGTTCCAAGAATAGGAGTTCCTGATTTGGAGCCATAATTTTCTCCAACTTACTATGAAAGTAGAATCAAACCAAGAAGACTTCTTAGCAATCAAGGGAAGCAAAAGACATTTATTATTAACTTACAAGCAGCCCTTGACCCAGGTATGTCATTTCCCTTGAAAGGGATAGGGCAACTTGATCTGCTTAGGTCATTCATTCTCTTGGTTCCAAGAAGGATGGGAAGCGCAGATATGACCTTTTAATTTTCTTTTTATTATAAAATATAACATCCATACAGAAAGTGACATACAACATAAAGGTATAGATTAATTATTATAAGGCAAATAGCCATATAACTACCACACTCTAGTCAAGAAATAAAAACAATAGTACCTAGAAGTCTTTAGTGTGCCCTTATCTATCATTAGTTTCTCTATTTTCTCTAAATATAAGTTATCCTTTCTTTAAAACAAAATCATTTCTCACTATTCTTTATCTTTTAAGGATTTTCCCAAAACACTATAGTTATGATTTTCTCACTTTGGAAATACATATAAATTAATTTTTACTATAAATATTATTTTGTGTCTGATTTCTTTTGATTATTAGTATGGTAGTGATATTAATCCACATTGTTACATTTCAATGTAGTTAATTCATTTTCATTGCTATATGGAATTTGATTGTATGAACCTACTACAACTTATTTATCCAGTGTTCTTTTCACGGACACCTGTATTGTTTCTGATTTGGGGCTAACATGTGTTAATACTATAGACATTCTTAAACACATATATTAATGCATATGTGAAGGCATTTCTGTTGATAATATACCTAAGATTGGAATTGCTGTGTAATAGGACATTTAAAAAAAAAAAAAAAA